GGGTGGGTATTTTTTCTCTCATTGCTTTATTCGGGCTTAACAAGTACATTGTTTGCACTCAAGGTTAGACAAAAGGACAGATTAATTGTCCTATATGGTCCTTAGCTCGCAAGTAAATAAGAAGCAGTGGACATATACTAAAACTAATATATGGTTAACATCAAAGACACAATTCTGAGCACTTTTATAGGCATAAAATACTTTCAAAATCATAATAAAGTGTTTAAAGATTACATCCCGCGAACAGTTTTGCACAGTTAGGCTCGTGATAGAGGTCACTGGTGTGGCCAAGTAGCTTTCCACAAGCTTTCTTGTATCGTTTTTGCGCTGGCATTATTTGGAGTGAATATCGCCCTCATGGTAACAGCAGTGTTTATTGTCACTTTTTTATCATTTTTTTTCAGTGAATAACAGTGACAAGAAGCGACGCCACATCTAGATGCCTGCAGAGCCAAATGATGCATTACAGTGAAGCTACCTGAGTCAACCTGTGGCGACTTTGCGCTAGCGGCGTTAGTGTGGTGGCTTCTAGCCACCATAGCGTTAGTGCTCGCTAGTCACCTGATTTGCGGGGAAAATGGGAATCGATAGAAAAGAGTAATGGACTGTGCCTCTCCCAGAATAGCAAGACTGAGTATTCTTGGGTGGACAGAGGGGGTAGGGGCCTAACAGATTTTGGTGCAGGAAAGAAAAGATTAGGCTAATAACAGGGGTACAGTCTAGGGCGACCCCCGCCCTCCAAAACCATCGGCTCGCACCACGCAGCTTATCATTTAGTAACGAAGAAAAACAGTAATTTGACAGTGAAAATAATTAGCAAAGATTGGTAAAATCAAATAAAAATACAAACCCCGAAGAAAAGAGACGATCGCTTTACTGTCTCCCAATTTTCATGGGGCCGAACTGCAGCAAGATAGCTTTTTCTCTTAAATAGGGCTAGCATTCACGCGCAACTGAAAATACTTACGTTGGAAGCCTGGAAACAGTTTTATACCGAAAATCTGCGGTCGTGCATGAAGAGCATTTCTGTAGAACTATTGTAAAAAACCTCTATCAGAACCCCTACCAGTTAGCAGTATTCGCGGTGTAACGCCGTTACCGGTAACACGTTACTTTTTTGGCAACTTATTAATGCACTCGTTACAATTTTAGAACTGCAGCGAGTAACGCACTTATGTTACAGTTTTCGGGTAATGTGTGGTGTCACGTTACCCGTAACATCTTCGCCGCGTAGGTGCCATTTTCCCAGAGCTCACGCCGATGAATTATTCTGTCACAGCGACGGAGAGCTGTCTGCCTGCAGGTTTTGACAAAAAAATTGAGGGTGGAATCGCTTTTTTCTCCGGAAGTTGGGGATATAAATTCTTGAAACGCCCCAACTCCACGTGAGAAGTTTTGACCCTTCGCGACACAAAGCTCAAAGAAAGCTTTGTGACATGACATCCGCCTTGACAAACTGTAGGAACGTGCTTTTCAAGGAATTAGACTGTAGCAAGCGGATTGCTGGCCACTGCACCCTTCCATGCTTACCCGAAGGAAAGCGCATGAACTGCTTTACTCAATACTTCTTATTGATTGATTGAATAATTGATTACATTGTTACTCCCCGTTATACGGTTTAGAAGGCACAAGCTGTTACGCGTAGTGAGCAAAAGTTCACAACACCAGGTGAGTTATGCTCCGGCCGATCTGCACGCGAATACAGCTTTCATGCGACCCTCAAAATGAGTGTAAGTACTCTTTAATAATATGTTCAAAATATATGTTTACTTTTCTTGAAAACATTGTAGAGCTAACTGTTTACTCGAATATACGCCCCGATTAAATGACATGCAGCTAGGTAGCTCCAACTTGGCTGTCAATCAAAATTTCCAAAGGGAAGAAATGTTTAAAATGGGGCACGGGGGGTGAATTGGGAAACTTGTGTTGTACAATTGCGTTGTTGTATTACATTGTTGGATGTTCTCTTGCCTCTCTAATATTCAGATCAGGTGTGCATCAGGATGTTGATAACAAAATGATAATTATTTTGTTGTCGGCCGGCTGTCATGTGCGAGAAGCGCTGATGCTGCACATGTTTGTATTTCTCTGCCACAATTTATGAACAGTGTGCCATTCATATGGCTCGCGTTTCACGGCTTTTACGAAAGAAAAAAGTGTTGCTGAAAATATTTGCGTACAGTCCTTTGTTTCAAACCTTTGTTTCAACATAGTTTAAAAGCATCGAAAGGCATCAAAGATGTACCGAGGTTACCGCATGGACACTGGTGAAAGTATTTTGCACTTTTGTTTCTCCTTTTATGCGAAAGGATATTGCATGCGTAAATCTTCCTTCGAACTTACCAAGTGCATCATGATTCAAACTGAATGTGGCTCTTGTTCGTTTCTTAGAATATCTTGGTGCCTAGATAAGGGAGTATCCCGTTTATGCGTGTACAGGAATATCCAGAATTTTGAATAGACTCAAGTTTCGTGTTTTTATTGCGTTTGTTCAAGTTTTCTATTTATTTTCATCTAATTGCAATGTCAAGACAGCTTACTCTCGTTGTTTCACACTTCGCTGTCTATTTACATGCTAACACAGCGCAAATTGAACGAGGAAAAGGGAGACAAAAGTCAGAGTCATGTTTTGTGCCCTATCCTCTGTTAAGGTTCACTTAGCGCTGTGCAAACGTGCCGATACCAATCGCCAAGTACCCCACGT